AGGAGGGGGAGGAGAGAGGCAGAAGAAAGTGGTGTATGGAGAGCATAAGAGCTAATAATTGGTTTTTATCTTTCCAGGAGTTGATGTCAAGAGGAACTGATGTAATTATTACTTAATACAATATGATATTGGTTATGTAATAGTATACATGTGATTATATGTTATGAAAATGGAAAATAAAAAGTAAAAACATGGTGGAATGAGGTGGAGGGGAGAATTTACCATATACATCAATAAGACTCTCATCTTCTCTGCAGTTAAAAGTCCACACATGGTGAAAAAAAATATCCCCCTCCCTTTCTAAAGTTAGCTGTTAGCTGTGTCCTTCCCCTGTTTATTGACAGTGATCTTATGTAATTAAACATAAAGCTCTGAAAGGTGGGTTCTGTGTAGCATCATGAATTTTTCCACTTATCCATACTTTGCCTGGAGGAAAAAAACTGACACTTCTTAGTTTGATTCCTAAGAAAATTGTGAAATTCCACTGTCCCTCTCTTTTTCTCTGTCAAGCAATCACTGTGTAGAACTCACAAATTTTAATGTTAACATTTTTTTAAAATCCAGATGATGATCACTAAAGAACTGTAATATTTAGCAATAGCACTATAGCAATAGTTCTTAGACTTATATTCTGCTTCACAGTGCTGTACAGCCCTCTCTAAGCAGTTTGCAGAATCAGGATATTGCCCTCAACAATCTGGGTCCTCTTTTATTTTATTCACCCATTTCATATAAATATTGATGCTGCTATTGTGTTCAAAGCATCTGGTTAAATAGTTCTGTGAGATAACGATCTGATCTTTGTCATTCATACAGAGAGTCATTAGTAACCCCATTAAGTTCTCTTGGAGCAGCAGAAGCTCCATCATTGGCTACATTTTTATAAGTCTAGGTTTTAGAGCTGGATCCTTCCAAGAGGATTGGTGAGTATCTGGTAGAGAACAGTGTTATCAGTAGGACTGAAGAAGTAATAGAGCGTAACTAAAATGTATAAATCTAAAATAATAAGCATAAAATGCAGGACAATTTATTATGTAATAGCTATAAATAAATTTTTATTTGCTTCCATTTATCCAGGTTCTTTCCTACTGCAGGAAGATTTATAGTCAAAACAATTGATTCTCCAACACACATGCATGGACCAACACAATTCTTTCACTTTCAGTAACTGACATTTTGAAGAAGAAAAAAACACAAGATTTGTAAGCAAGCCATTGTTACAAGTTTCAGCAAGTACAAAAAAGAAAAAGTGAATGGTAACTATTTGCTCACAAATCATCAATTCACAGGAGTTACTCTCATTTCTTTGAAGAAGGGCATTGAAGGGCATGTTAAGTAGTGGTAGCAGTGCTGCTATTTTGGATGACACAAACACTGTTCTCAAATTAAAATCCATAAGGCTGGATTTGCCTATATAGAACAGGACAATCATTTCAGTCAGCAATGCTGGGGGAGAGGGGATCAGTGGCTATTTCCTGAATGTTCCTACAGTAAATAAGATGGAATTTAACTGGACAAAATACAAAGTTCTGCATTTGGATACGAAGCATGTAAGAGAGTAATTGAAGATGGGAGTAGTATATGTGAAAAGGATCTTGGTGCCTTTGTGAACCACAAGTTGTACATGTCAGCAACGTGAAACAGCCGCAAAAAAGCCAAATGCTATCTTAGGGTAGGATATGAAGTGTTTTTCCTTCTCTTCCAAAAGACCTCTTGTGTTTGGAGGTGAGAGAAGAGGGAGGGACCATGTGCTTCTAGCTGAGTCAAATGTTGTGTTGCAAAGAAACTAGAGTCACTGTCAACAAATATGAAAAAAAAGGAGTGCCTTCAGCCAGCTTGGGTTTTTACAGTGTATTTTCCAGTATGATTGCATCAGCCACCTCCCTGCAGCAAATGCCTGCAAAGCTAATGCACACTCCCACTACATAAACCACTTAAGTAAATGGTCTTTGGATACACTGGAATTGGTTGCATTCTTCACTGCCATTTAAGAAGCCTGAAAGAGTTCAGTACCACACCGGGGGTTGTTGTTTGCATTTACCAGAAGAAGTCAAGCCTGCCTGCTGCTTTGCCTGTCTCTCAAATACACCTTCCCTCACACACAGCATAAATGAACCTCCTGCCTTGGAGCAAATATTACTACTAGCCTTCTAGACAAACTAGGCTACTTGTTACATCCTGTCCACCGAGTGACTGCAGGAATGTGGGCACTGAGAGAAACCCAAGCCATGACTGAATCGTTGCTATTTACCAAAATTATGGCTTCTTCTGCTATGGAGTCTTATCCCCCCCTCCCCAAAGCCCCCATGCCTGAACGGATGCCAGCAGGGGGCGGCAGGGCACAAAATCTCAGGGGTTCCCAGGCAGAGTTTGGGAAAGCGATGCCACGTAGAAGTTCAAGATCTGCCCCCGCCTTCCCCAATCACTGCCACAGGCCCGAGGTAGAAGAATGCAGAGGGATGTTTGTATTTTAAAGCAGCCTTCCACAGTACGGTACCCGCTACATGCCTTCCGCGTTCGTTTCCGTAGTTGAGGATTATGGGGGTTGTAGTCCAAGGTATTCACCCGGATGGAGGAGATTATGCTACAGGCGGAGGCGGAGTATGCGTCCGCGCTAGTGTGTGGCTGCGGCGTGGAGTGAAGGAAAGAAGGCAACATTTGTCAGGGGTGGAGAAACAAGGCTTTGAACTGCCCACCCCCCTTCTTTATATGACACACGCCGAGCCAGTCAGATGCTTCGCGCTTGGACTTGCAGGAGGTCCCCCGTCCCCCGATAGCAGAGTCAAGATCGAGCCACGCTGGGCACGCTTATATACCAAGGCGCTGCGGGCAGTGCCTAGCGATCCACAGGCTGATCTTTAGGTAGGAGGAAGATGCCATAGAAAACAACGATCTGTTTGCTAACATTTTACGGAGTTAAGCTTTCCTTGCAGGGGGGGGGGGGGAAAGCCTCTTGGATCCGTTGCAAGACTGGAGGAGGTTAAGGATGAGCACCGTTGAGAGCTAAAAAAAACCTCCGCTTCTAGGTGTGTTTGTATTGTACGTAGGTGTTATTAGTTTTTCTCCCGGTGTGACTGTCCATGGTACTGTTTGAAGGTGAGATAAGCGGTGCATGCTTGCCTTTCCCCACCACCCTCCTGTTTCCCTAACCCGCCTTCCGATGTTTGGGCAACGAGCTGTCAGTTCTTCGCGTTCTCACGTCTCCAGGCTCGGGCATCCAGACGTTGAAAAAGATCGGCACGTTTTTTTGTCGCGATCGAATGTGTTGCTGGTATTATGCGCGCGCACGCAGACGGAGCCAGACGCCCCCTAAGCACGCGCCGAACCGTGGGGTGGGGTGGGGTGCTTTCCTTCGCCCCGGATCGGTTCCTTCGTAAATCCTCCCAGCCACCCACCCACCCCCACACGTGACGGGCGCTTGCCCCTTGTTTTCCGAAGCTTATTGGCCGAGCATGCCGGGCAGGTATCTTAGGGTTTCTTCCTTGCCGCGTGGATTTGCAGAGCCCAGCGGGGAAGAACTAACGTTAAGCCCTTCCCCGAAGTCTTGCTCTGCACCGCAAATCCAGACTCGGCGCCGCAGCCCCTCCCCGGAGCTCCGCGGCGTGGCTAGGCTAAGAAGCAAGGACGTTCCAATCAGCAAGGGGGGCGGGAAGGCTGGACCGAGCCGACGACGCGGGGAAGGCGGGACCTCTCTGCTGCCGCCGCCCCCCTTCCCTCTTCGAAGCCGCGACCAAAACTTTCACTAAAGTCGGCGGCGCTCGACCCCCACAGAGCAGAGAGCGGGAATCGAAAGTGGGCTTGACACGCGTGCGGCCGCTTCGCCCCACCCCCACGCGTGGAGGGCTTGGGAAAAGGGAGTAGCGAGAGCTGCCGGCAGCAAGATCTGATGCAACTTTGTCGCTGAACGGGGCGGGCGGGGAAAGCCACCTTGACAACGCGCCTGGAGAGAACCCGCGCGAGGCACCAGAGCAGCATGGCCAGGGTAAGCGGCGGCAGCGGAGGCTGCGGGGACTCGAATCAGGGGTCCCCCCGAGGCTGTCTGGGGAACCTGTCTGGCCTTGCCAGATTAAAAAGAAAGAAAGAAAAAAGCGGCGGCGTGGATTGTGCGCTGGGGTGTGAGAGTGGCGTCCGGCATCTTGCGCCTTAGCGGGAGAGGAAAACGTGCCGCTAGAAAACCTGAGGCGAAGCGTAAGAGCTGCCAGCGCCTCCTTCGGCCTCCAGCGCTGTGCATTTGCCGCTGTCATTGGCGCTACGGTGCCAGGCGGAATTGCCTTTCAGTCTGGGGAAGGATGGCTGCGGTCGGAGCCTTTCGACGCCGGGGGGGGGGGGGAATTGTTTAGGGGCGTGGTCACTCGCCACCCGGGGTGGTCTTTGCTGTATGATATGGAGGGTGGGGTCCTCGGCTGCGTCTTGTCCTGCGGTCAGAGCTTTGGGGGGGGGGGATTCGTGGCTGTAATTTTCCACCTCACCATGTGTGGGTGGACGTGGAACCGCTCCCACGTGGCAGCTGATGTAACCCCCGCTTTCCACCCATCGTGCTTGTAATGTTGGGCATCCTCTGCTGTCAGGTGTTCAGAATCAATTTTTATCCCCTTTGGGATATTTCTCAAACCGTTGGCTAGTGAAAACCTCACCACTGGACCACGCTGTAGTCTTGGCAAAATAAGGACTTGGCAAAATAAGGACTGACTGTTGTCAGTGGTCCCTTTCCCCCCCTCATAGGGCACTGGGTGTGTATATGTATATGTATATACATATACAGCACAAATACAACATATGTGTGTGTGTATTATTTATATTTATATTTATATTTATATTTATATTTATATTTATATTTATATTTATGTATTTGGATTCCATCCCTCCTGCTTATGGAAGAGAGGTAATTCCTTTTAGCAAGATCTTCTCAGTCTAAGCAGGTTACATAGTGTTTATGGATCACCTGTTTAGATTGAGAAGATCTTGCTAAAGGGAATTGCCTCTCTTCCATAAGCGGGAAG